GTACCACCGGTGCCACAGCAAGAAGCAAGACAAAGAGTAACCCATAAGCCATAAGCACTTCAAGAACGGCGGATGCGGGCCGCACGACCGCAGTAGATGCAGTTGTAGATATGAACTGTGGTGGAGAAGGTCAGAACAATTGCTCTTAAAAGTTCCACGCAACAGTAGTTGAGTGACAACAGGTCCTTGTGTAACACGTGTTGCGTATTCCAATTCAGGCCAACCAAAGCCTCAGCTAAGGGGGGTGCACAGTCCACCACAACAACGAAACCACAGGGGNNATCATGGGGTGGGCGTGGGATGGGGGATCTGGCAGCCCTGCATCATACATCCTAGTCCTAGCCCACAACGGCCCACGCATGGCCCTGTACAAACTTTCACCTATGCCCTTGACCCCCCCGCTGTAATCCTTGCCTCAACCCTAGACACAGCGCAGAAACCACAGCTCTGAACCCGAAACCCAAAGCTCAAACCCTGAGCCCCAGACTAGCCCTACGTAACACTGACCTAAATATTCACCCGGCTCCCTTCCCCAAGTTTGCCCTTCGCACCATAGACGCCCATGGAGGAGAGCACATAGGCCAGCACTATCCAAATGAGCCCAAAGGAGGGCTTGCCAGCCAGGAAGCATCCAGGTCGTGCACTCCTGAGAAACAAACTCACACCTCCAACACTGCATTCAATACGATTCGCCTAAGTTGCCACATGTCGCCACCAAGCTGCCAGATTGACGCTTTTCTTGGTACTGGTGGTCTGGATCGCTGATTGGTCGCTGCGGCGACGAGTCCAACGATTGAGCCTGTCCTTGGATTCAACGAAGAACAGAGGGCAGCGAACGAACCAACAAACGTTTCACTTAGGACCAGATAGCTCTGAACCCAGTGCTGTTGGACATATCCGTGTTGCAGCAAGTAGGAGGATTCGGATTCCAGCTGCCTTGTGCAAAGCCTCGTCCTGGCACTCTCGAGGGGGCAATCCAATGGGATGAGACTTTGGTCCTGTACATTACAAGGCGGAAGGGCAATTTGCAAGCCCTGGTAACCCTGGTCAGCCCAGCCGGCACCTGTGCATGCCACCCTGTGAAATACTGGTGCACTGCAGGGGGTGCTGACGGCCATGAATGCTTCACCCACAAGAGACCATCATGCCACGCTCCTTCCAAAGCTGAGCTGCGGCTCCACAGCCTTTCTCGGCGCTGATGCGCGCGTGCCAGCAGCAGGCGATGGCACATTCATCTGCCACACAGATTCTGCACCGACACAATGCTGGAAGGAGTGTGACATGCTTGTTCAATGCTTACCGTCCCTATGCGCCATGCGGCATTGCCCTGTTCTCTGTTGAATTGCCCAGGCGTGGTTTCAAGCACGAAACTAACAGATTAGAACAACACATGGGCCAGCTTCTAGATTTGACAGGGTCGTGCAATCCACATTGCAGCAGCCGAATGCAAACATGTCTCGGCAAGCAGCAGTGACAGAACGCATTGCGAAAATAGCACCCGTGATATTGTCTGCTCAGTCTATTGCTGTGAGTGTACTTCCTGCCTTGAAACCCCTTCCGGAAAACTGAGCTATCTGGGCCCAGAACCATCAGCCTCTGGGCGGTTGCGAAGCCGTTTGCGCCTGCAGCTGCTACCTCTATCACAAAGATATAGGCTAATGTGACGAGGTGGTCCTCACATTACCGCGCAAGCGAAGCTTTCGAGCACACAAGCCCCAATCAATCCAAATGTGGCGTCGCGGACATGGCCTAGGATATCAGGTGTGCGTCGGCAGTAATTAGCATCTGTTTCGCTGATGCACTGGTTGGAGGGATGCTGAGGTTAGAGGAGTCGGCTTGCTGATGGTAACTTCGAGGTTTTATGCCGGGTTGAACAGAAACGGTTGCTGTTGCAACTTGCTCCCTGCTCCCTCAGCAGAAAGTCTCGAGAGTCTGGGAAGCAACCCCATCTCATACCCGCCTGGGCAGTACCTCCAAGCTAAGCACAGGACATGGGGTTGTAGGAATTTGCTGTGGCTGGGGTCCAGCTGCCCCTGCCCCTACCCCTGTGAATACCCTTAGTCCATCGGGCAGAAGGAGAGGTTGAAAGCCCCTCTGCACCAGGCCTGCCGCATGGGGGTTTCGCAGAAGTGGAAAGCAGGGTTGCATCGAGTCCGCACACTGGGGTCGGAGCTTGGTGCGCACCCGCTTTTCTCTGTTTCTGTACTTCGGCGGATCTCCCTTTGATCCTCTTCCTCTGAGCAGTCAGGCTCTGTCTCCTTGTCTCCGTCTTTCGGGCTGAGAGGGTCCACTCAGCTAATGTTAACCTCATCTTAATCATCCCCCCTCAATTATAAAAATTCGACCCCCAGAACTGAATTATCAACCCCCCCGTTCAATTGTAATATTCGACACCCTAAATCCAATTTTTTCGGAGAGCTTCCTGATGGACCCTTCCAGCAAGGCAGAGAGAGAAACCGCGAGCACTGCAGAGCTTCGGATGAGATTTACAAGCCGCCACGGGACTCCGAAACCGCGCAGTTTTCGAGGATCTCAGAAACCATGCCTTCCTTTGAAATTCCTTATTCCGGCAGCAAAATATCAATCCATCCTGAAGGAGTACTACCAAAAGCCGTTCTTCCGAATTAACAACCCCCCTCAATCTGCAGAAGCCAGGAAAAGGAAAGCAAGCTTTAGCAGCCAAACCCTTCATCGGGAAAGCTTTGGATAGCACCGAACATCAGACGAGCCAAGCAAGCCACTCAAAAAGAATTATGTCGCATCATTGATGCCCGGCCGGGCCTGCGCGGCGAGCATCACGAGCATCATTGGCACCCGGCCGGGCCCGGGAGGCCAGCATCATGAGCATCATTGGCGTCCCGTTTCTCCGTTCCAGGGCAAGCTGAAACACTTCCTTTTCATGCCCGAAAAGGAGGGGATCGGCCACGCCGGGAAAATGCAGCTCCAGGTGCAGTCTCTCTTTGACTCAATTTTGGGGGCTTTCCCCACACCCTTCGGTTGATAAGAAACTCCGCTAGCCCCGGACACTAGCTCTCGTGACAAAGACGCCGCTGAGGATTCTGCAACGATCTCTTTCTCGAAAACAGGGTGTGCAAGTCCTCATGGGGCCAGATGTGACTCCGAGATCTCTTGGGTGCCCATGACACCACTTGCCTCACCAGCCTGCAGTTGATCTCGAATGAGCTTCGACAAGACCTGAGCAAAACCAGTTGCAGCTTCCTTCTGCGTGTCACAGCATGTGGATGCCTGGTCCTTGCTTCCGATGAAGTTTGTGACACGGCCTCCCTGGCCCATCCGACCTGTCAGACTGTCAGAGAAGTGTCACTCCAACCTTCGCAAGGCGCGGCTGGCGCGGCTTTGCTGGGAAACACAAGGGCTCTTCCACGCATCACGTGAAGGCCTGTGCGGCCGACACGGTGAAGCCAGCAGACTGCACCTGCAACACTCCGCGATGTACTTACCGCTCAGAGGACCTGGGAGACCAAAGCCTCGTGCTCGGTTCCTAAATTTGTCAAATCGCGCGGAACAAGATGACGTAAAAGGAAGTGCGAGAAAGGATGTTTCCACTGCCCTAGGAGGCCCTGCGGCGCGTGCACAACACTTGCTCAAGGATGGGGTGCATGTAGCGAAAGTAGCGAAGTCGCCGGCTTGAGTGGGCCAGGTGTGATGGTACTACAATCCGCTTCCTGTCTGGGGGGTAACCCGCTCTGCTAGTTACGTTCCTGATCCAGCAGCCATGCAGCTTATCAACTTGCTGGCTTCACCTGTCGGCATCTGGAAATTGATGACATGATCCACCTGAGCTTCAGCGACGTGTCAAACGCAGCGAAGCAGAGTTCAAGCTGGCCTGGTGCCAGTCGATGCCTCGACCGCCAAACTCCGTGGCCACCATAATGCTTGCCTCGAGAGAGATGCCCTTGAGCGCTACAGTGTGCAACTCAACCACGCAGCACCAGTCCAGAAGGGAAGGGCAGGTCCTAAAAAGACCGCAAGCCTATCAAAGCAGCCAAAACCTGACAACAACAGTCAACCTTTCGACAAGAAGGATCCAAGGGCAGCAAGATCCAAAGCATTCGGGTGTGTGTAACATAACGGCAGCGTCAAAGCTTGGAGAGTATTCAACGAAACCTCGTATGAAGTTGTTACACTGTTCGATATCCGCACCCGAAGCGATGCACATTTGCATAAGCCATTGAATGCGTTCGTTGCCTTCGCCTGAAAGCTTGAGCAGGCTGTTTTTATGACTACGCGTGACTATATACTTTCATAACCGACTGCGCTTTGAAGATGGTAGAAGATATTGCAGTTGAGCATAGATGATAATGAGCACCTTTGACATGATTGCTACTACTTTCAATGGTTGTTTGCAATATTTCGCATCTATTAGTAGTCGCACTTTGAGGGCTTGTGTGTCGCAGCATACTGCATTTCATCTTAAAGCAGTGTAAACTAGTCTAGGTGATTCTAGGTGCAGCCTTGCGGTTCTCTGGTCGGAAAAGCCTCCGTAAAAAACAAAACTGTTCGCTGTCCACCCTTGATGGGTCCCATTTTCTCCAGCAGCAATAACGGCAGCAATGCCACGAGGCAGCTAAGCCCAGGTGTTGATTGCGTCTCTCGGTGCCTTCGTGTCGGTCGTTTTGAGCCTGAGTATCTTCTTTCGTCGCTTCTTTTGCTCTGTTGCGTGCGCCATCTCTTGCGTCGTGCCTTACTAGCTCCTTGTTGCCTGTTTCTTTGATTTCACTCTGGCTGCTTCATTTTTGCCGCTTCTTGCGTCCCTTCTCTTCCCCTTCTTCTTCACGTCGTTCGTGTCTGTCTTTCATCGGGACGTCCTCTCTGCTTTCTCCCCTTTCCTTACTTGTTTCGTTGCACTGTTTCTTCGCTTCTGAGACATGAGCCGCAGGCGTAGGCTTTGGACTAAAACATGATTGCTTCGTCGATGACAGCTTGGCTGTTGAGCTAAATGCGTCGCCTGTTGATGCGCATCCCTGGGGAGGGAATGGGTGCTCATGTGCGACTGGCGGCCTCGCCATCCACGAACTTCTGAGCGTCCCGGAAACGAGGCCTCCACATTGAGAAACTTGATCTGCTCACTAGCAAGGCCGGCCTAACTTGCGCCGATGTGGTGTCGCGTTTGCACATCGCTCCCCTAGGTCTGCTCGGAGGAGCTGCAGGTTCCGAAGCACACCTTTCAGCCTTTTGGTCTGGGAACTGGCGCCGCGTTGAGCAGTACTGCCTGCTGTGGTGTTCACTGGCAGCAGTCTAGCCGGAGAAAAATTCAGTTGCACAAGGGTCCCAAGCTCTTCGGGACCCTGCGCCCGAAATAATCGCCGCGCAGCACTCGGTGCAATAGCGGCTCGTCTTCCTCGATATGCAACACGGACCTGCGCCTTGAATCTACTTGCAAGCTTCAGGCAGAATGGTATCATTGCAGGTCCGCGTTGATACTGCTCAGGTAGCGAAGATGTCAAGAAACCCCAGGGTTCAACATATTATATTCATCTTTATGTGTATACATATATATATATATATATAGATGGAGAGAGAGAGTGTGTGTGTGTGTATATATATATATATGAGAGAGAGTGTGTGTGTGTGTGTGTGTTTCCAGGAGCCTTTGAGCATGCTGGCAAGCTTGCATTCGCAAGGCTGAGCCGTGAACCATGCACTACACCTAAAAGCGTTGGCTCAAGAGGTTCTACTCCAGAAGCCAGAAAACAACGACTGAACATCCTAGGCTGTCGAAGTCTCTGAGGGAAGTCTAGTGCACTGGTCGAGATCAGTTAGCAAGCCCACCGTGAACTGTCAATCTCCATAACCTCGCCAGCCGATACATTATCACACGCACAACCTGAGGCACGGCTCACTCCAAGAAGTTATCCAGGAAGTTGTCTGGCTCCGGCTCCTGCAAAGGCTACACTGGCAAACATCGGTAGCCTTGCTTGGCATACGGGTTTCTCCAACATCTGCGAGAAACGAACTGGACTACGAGGTCAAATTGTTGCCGGACGGCCTGGTCTTGCTTGGGCACAGGCTTGGGTATGATCTCTGGGTAGTTGGCGAAACGAAACTGGTCCATCTCGTAGATCACATTGTCCCTGTCTCCTGCCTGTTATATAGACACGGGACAGAGGAGTGTGGCTTCTTGTCATCTCTGTTTTCTGGTGGCGTTCAATCCGGCGCCTGCTTGTGAAGTAGGTCATGGCGATAGTCGGCATTTTTGGCATCGAAGATCTCCGATGACAACCGGTGACCTCAAGTGGACTCTCTGTGAGCCGTCTCGAAAAAGTGTAGTTCTGTGTACCCTCTTTGCAGCCTAGCTGCCCATCATATTCAGTCGACCCTGCAGGGACTGTGCGATTGAGTCGGCTTGCCGTTTGGGTCATGAAGCTCACACTCTACCCCTGCTGCCTAAGCTGCTAAATGGCAAGGCCTGGATCTCATCAGCTCTGTAGCTCATTCGCCGCAGCCGCGCGACAAAGCATCCGGCACGCCAATTCTCATGGAGTGCGATGCTAATGAGTCGAACCATGTCCTGCCGCGCGAGACTCAGATCTTGTGGATGTCGTGACGGCTTTTTGGCCTTTGAAGGCAGCAAACAAACTAACACAAGTCCTGGCCCGTCGCAGGCCCCTTCAGCTGCCTCAGAAGCACAAGGCTCGTACAAACCCGGGCCTGCTGCATGCCATTCGAACCGAGAGGCTGGATCCCATCGACCAACTCTTCAGCACTAACCTGTCGCAGCATCTTGCGAGGCAGGATTCTCACTCTAATGTATTTAAATACACATGCTGTGATGGATGTTTGGCCAAGTGCAAACAGAGGTTAAGAAACTTCAACTCATCAGGAGTGAAGGCTGCACCAAACAATGCCTGACATCCAAAAGTACATTTCAAGCCGGCACTGCAACCCGGTGCATTTCAAGTTTTGTCCCGACTTTCTTGCTTACAACCAGCACACACACACACACACTCACACACACACACACACGCCCAGAGACACAAGACACACAAAACTCGGCCGAAGTGCTCTCAACATCAAAGCGCCTGTCTTTTTTTGCCCTGGGGCTGTTAGATTTTGGAGACAAGCCTTTCCACAGGGCCCTCACCAGCGGCGAGTTACCACCACTCAGCGAGCTAGGAGGAAAGGAGACCGGGTGATTGCTCCGAACAATGTTTTCACCCGGCACAAAATTGCATTCAAAGCCCTGGAACTGGCATACTGCCAAAATTACTGCACTCATGAACTGAATGCATGTATGGCATGTATGTACGCATGCATGTGGGCGCATGCTACGTACGCATGCATGCATGCATGCATGCATGCATGCATGCATGCATGTATGTATGTAGGTATACAAGCATACATGCATGCATGTATGTATCTATGCCCGTACCAGCAGGGCCACATGGCTGTAGAAGCACACCCTTGCATTCTCACATGTTCAAACTTAAACTGTTGCAGCCTTGTCCACTAACACAGACGACATCATCAAAGGGGGCTGTCATGTCCGGCTTCTCGCGCCGCTGACTGCTCTTCGGATTCGAATTACAGTAGTTACATCAAGCCCATTCCACACCACATTGCAGCTGTCCAGGCAGCAAGGCCCGGCAGTGACGGCAGACCGGCTTCTGAAATTAGTTGAGCATGCGCCTCACCGCTCTGATCAGCGTCGAGCACAGTGAAGAGCTCTTCAGCTTCGTCCACACGAAGGCCAAGCATCGTCAGCTTGGCTTGCACATCAGCCTGCCTGTGAACCGCAAATGGATTGCAAACGCTCGTAGACTGCACAGTTTCCTGCAACAGAGACCCTCTTCCAGGCCTGATCATTTTCTTAAACTCTCGGAGGCTGAGATATCCAGTGTTGTCCTGGCATTCCGTCCGCTGGTTTGTGCCAGGTGCATTTCATTCGTAGCAAGACTGCTCGAGTGCATCTAGCAAGTTTTTCCTTTCGACAAACATTGTTCTCAATCGATACGCGACATGAACCTGCAGCGACTTTCCGAGCCTAAATGCGCTGTCCTGGTCGTGTCGGTTGAATTCGATCAACAGGCGGTGCAAGATGTATCTTTCTGAGTTGATCAACATTCGCGCAGAGGTCTCCTGCCCATGTCCCGACAAAAAGGCATCTTCGGCACAATTAAAGACAAAAGCCCAGAAGTCCTTGCTATCCGACGCTAAAGATGTGATCTGCTTCACCATGACCGCCACCAGAAGGTTGAAGATAGCAAAGGTGAGCAGAACAACCCCGAGAATCAGAAGGACGACAGCAGGCAGAGACAACTCCAACCTGAGAAGGAAAACGTGAATCGTTGAGGTCTACTGCATACGACCATGGACAGCCAGCTTAAGCAGTATCAGCCAGGACACAGTGGACGAGCTACCAAGCCGGCCCACCTGTCCAGCGTTGCAACCTGTAGCATTGTCATCATTGATTGGCCTATAGTGCCGAAGTAGAACTTCGCAGCAGGCCAGAAGTTCAGAACAATGGGATCCGTAGCCACCACCGAAGTCATAGACACGGCGAAGATGTACAACGCAACCGCAGCGATGCTTGCCACAAACGCGACCGCCCTGAACGAGTCCAGCAAGCCCTGGATCATGAACCAAAGACCTCCCAGGCCAGCGACGCCTTTCACACTCCGCGCGACCCGTAAGCCGCGAAAGACCCGGAATGCTTTTGCCAGCTGGACACCCGCTACGGGGCGAAAGAGCGTCATCATCAAGTCACCAAAACCCATCAGCACGAGACTAAAATCAAAGACGTTCCAGCCGTCATGAAAGAATTCGAATCTCTGTTGGTCAAGTCGTACAAGCCATTCCAGGATGAAGACACTCGCAAAGAAGATTTCAGTCAGCACGAATCCAACATTCATCTCGACTGCGACGGCCCTCTGGTCATCCACCTCTATTCCCAAGATGATCGTGTTCGTTATCAGCAAAACAACCTCAGAAAAGGCAGGGAAGCAACACGTGGCAATTCGGATCACATGTAAGGGCGCATGACCCATCTTGCGCAGAGGCACAATGGCTGAGTTGAGCTTTGTGCTCGATGCAAGGTGCTCCCTTCGCCTTTGGAGTTCTTCGGCAAAAACACCATTCATCTGCTCGAAGACGGACTTCCATCTGCCAAAGACACTCAAGTCGCATGTTGCTTGCATCAGTTCGACCGCAACCTTAGTCTCTTTCTCTCTCCCTCTCTCGCTCTATCTTTTCTTCTTCTTCCCAGGGCATAGGGGGCGAGTCAAACTCCCCGGCCCATTGGCCCCCCACATGTCATGGGGCTTTCGGGAGGATGTCAAAAGGCAGCCGGAGTATCGAGTTTGTGAACAAAGCATGAAGAATAAGCTGAACACAACACAGTTTCCCCCGATACACGGCTCAGTTCACGGATATTGCGACACCTCGATCGAATTAGTGTGTATGCAACAGGGTCTGCCGGCAAAACAACGAACATGTTGTTCCCCGACACACGCACTTTCCGGTACAAACATGCACGAAAACAACTTTGCCCCAACTTATTGGGTAGCATCCAAGTCGAAAAGCACGAACGATCAGAATATCTAGACACACTGGTTTCGCTGGGGTTGCTTTCAGGTTGCTGGGGACAGTTTTTGTATAGACAAAGAAACGACTGCGAAGTAGGGCATTCTCTCTCTCTCTCTCTCAGAGGAACCGGAGACGGGCGAAACACCAGTTAAACACGACTGTAGTACAGAGTGTCTTCAGGTCATAAGCATGTCATTATGGGATCACGTCTCCGCCCATTTTGGCACATGGCATTGCATGACTGCTCATGAGCCCAAGCCCCAACACCCCTGACCCTCAACCTCTTAATCCGAAACCTCAAGAAGACCTGACAGGAACCCTTCAACCTACTTTTCCTGTTAGAATCATAAAACCATAACACATATACTACTAGTAGACAGTAGACTACTATTGAATGAACCCCCACAGAAAGCCTTAAAAGCACCCGGAGGTCCTCAAACCTCTGCCCCATCTCCCGGGGGTGGCCTCTTGGGACGAGGCTCCGGTTCGCTCCGGAACCACCTGCTGGAGGCCTCGCGCAGAGAGGACCACAGCTTTGTGACAGAAGAAAAAGAGCCGAAAATGATGAAGGTAACCATAAATGCTACTATTATATTATATATTATTACTATAACTCTTGTTTGTCCATCACGATTTGGCTAGTTGAAGGCATGTGGGTGGGGAAGCAGAGGTGCACGGTGCAGCTTCTTTTGAGTGGGTTTCGACAGATGAGAAGTGCAGAAGTGCAGTTTCCATGAATGCTTTGCTGGGCAACTGAAGTTTGCTCCTGAGAGGAACCAATGAGACAATGGCAACAAACCCTTTAAAGCTAAAGTCCAGTCCATTGAGAGTCTTTCAGTTGGAGATCAAACCACGTGCAGTCACATGGGGATGACAGTTCAACTGAGCGGGAATCCTCCAAACGAGAGCCTCGCTTTTGTTAATCTGTTGCATTGTAGTACACTTATCGCTTTGTCAACCGAATAAGGCTTCGGCGCTCAGGTTTTACGCCGTCATGACTATTTCAATATGAAGGCTTGTCTCATTCTAAGTACGACCCCCCTCGTCGCTGCATTTGTCAGTATTGCTATATGTTGCTGTGCTGCAGCTTCTCATCCTTGACCACTCTCTGCTGTTGCACTCTACTGCAAACCCGCCGGGTATGCCGCGTTGCCGAAAAGTTAAGCGGCCCAGGCTTCCAAGAATAGAAGCCTATAGTACTCACACCTACGTCAACATTTACCGACGAGTCGCTCTCTTCACCTTTTTTGCATCTGGTTTGCAGCGACTCAACTAAACCTTAAACCCTAAAACCTAAAACCTGAACGTGAAACCCTAAACCCTAAACCTTATACCGTAATACCTGAACATGAAACTCTAAACTGTAAACCCCCTGGCAGCCCGGCCTTCAATGCTCTTATCTGCCTCCGTAGCAAGGTCATCGCCGGCAAAGCGCCGCCTTCCACCAAGACAACGCCAAACTCCTAAGGCCATATGTAGGTCATACCTATTATAGTACAGTAACTTAAAATATTATGTCATATATATATGTATGTATACATTTATATATATATATACACACATCAAATACAATATACTATCACATCATATCATATCAAGTCATATCACATCATATCATACAGTATGACATAATGTGATATCATATGATATGACTCTCTCCGGCCAAGCGAATTCGCAGCACGAGCGAGAATTGTCACAGAATGCACTGTACATTGCCATACATTGCAGCCATGCCCTTTTCCTATGGAAGCTCATGGCAAAGAGGGCACGAAGACCCCCTATAAGCCAGATCAGATACAACGGCCGTGACCGCCGTTTGTCGACAGGCATCACGAACATTCTCCAAGACGGCGCCCATTTACGCAAACGTTTGCAGTAGTGCGCTAGATGCTGACGAATTTCCGAACTTTTCAAGAGCCACAAGCAACTCGAGATTCGTGGCAGAAATCCTCGAAATTGCTGGTGTTTCTAAAATCCGGGTGCAGCTATGTCGCATTGGCAGGCAAACAACCCTTATCCAAAGTGCTAACCAACGACGATGAACTAATCCAATCTGATCCAGAAAGCATGTGGAAGTCGACGTTGCTCGAAAGGGATGAATAATTAAGCAGCCAAACGAAGCACTTCGTTTGCGTCGCCAGGACGAGCACCCCACAGGAGGCGCTTCACAACCCGGGTTGTGAGTCGCCCTGTGACTGCAGTGCCCATACCTTGGGCCCAACCGGGAAGCCTTTTCAGCATGATCCGGCCTTTGTCATGAACAAGCCCAGACGCAGCATGGCTGGACAAGGCTGCAGCACAGTGCCTACCATGTCTTCCCCAGAAGATGTTTTGACAGTAGTAGGCATTTTGCAAGTTCGTGGGTTCCACTTGTGCTGGTGGTACCGCATGTCAGTGTTGGGCTAATAGCATGCTGCAGTCGGCGGCCTTGCTGTTCAGAACGATAGTTGGGTTCTTGTTCGTGCATGCCCTGGTTTTTCTGCCGAGCTGTCATATCAAGCAAAAAGAACAGTGGCATCATCCTGGAAATGTGCACACGAGCCCAAGCTCGAAGCCCCATTCGACCACGAGGTCCCTTCATGAAGCTCACCTTGTGGCTGGTCGTCGAGCCACAGGAACAGAGATGCCACGGTACCGCTGAGGAGAAAGCCACCGGCCATCCGTTGTCGCGAAAGAAGTGCAACAGCACATGGCAGTTGTGAAGGCCTCACGGGTTGAGTTGCACTAGGAAGGGCAAGCCAGCGCGGGGTACTCCGAGGAAGGAGCTATTGACGAAAATCAGCGTCCGCCTCGACACAGAACCACGTCGGAATGCAGCTCTGTGGTAAAATGTAAAATGTGACGGCACCATGTAGTTCACTCAGAATCTGCTTCAGAAAACCTGCATACTCTGAACCCTGAGCACGCCGCTGCCGCGGGGTTTCACGCAGCACGTCAATCAGTTGCTCGACCCGCTGATGCCAATCATCACCTGCATTCCCCCTTATCATCCTCCCCAAGAGGGGCCTGCAGCGTTGAGTCTCCTAGGGCCCAAGCTGCCAGGTATCCAGTGCACATTGTCCATGCTGATGCCCGCAGGCCTTTGTCATTGCTGGGTTTACCGATTCGGGTGTCGGCTTAACGGGCCATCCAAGGTCAGCTGCAAAGACACGGCGGGAGTGGACCCCCGGGAGAAGATGAATTAGCGGCCAGGAGTGCAGCCTGATGAACATCTTTTCTCCCTGGTCCCACAACATCCAGCAGCAATCCAGCACTCCACCATACTCCACCCACATCCGGCGGCTCTAAAGGCAAGCACAGGGTCGGTCTGGACACGGACACGAGAACAGGCAAGTACGAGAGCAGACCAAGTTGGGTCTTCGTATTATTTATCCTCTCAGGGCCGATCGAAAGCAAGGGTCAGCACGAGGACCATTCAACGGCAAGCCCACAAACCCACATGGACGGACCGTGCTATGGTGTTGAGGAGCCGGCAGTTTGTGGAACTGCGGAGTCTCCACCACATCTGCCGTACAGAAGCGCTCGATCCTGTCATCAAACTCTCAGGCGGTCGTGATCGGATCACAAACGAAGCTACGGTAGACGGAACGCAGTGCACCTTCAAAGGCCAACACCCGCTTAGAAGAGACCATGCCTTTCTTTTTACCGAGAAGTGCTAATGTCTGCGCTTCACGGCCTTGGTCTTTGCGCGCCAGAAACATGGAATCCCCCGCACCAAATGCTTTCAAGGCATCTATGCAGAGGCAGAGGAGATACCGTGGCTTCTTATGCTTAGTCCACATCTTTGCTCCTGCTAGCTTTATCAGCAAAGGACGACAGCTCCTCGGCAATGGTGGGCCGTGTTTTGCTCACCGCTTGCAAGGGCTACTCTGCACCGAGCAAACCTGCAGGTGTCAGTGCCACCATGGGCACTGCAGACTCGATTCCAACTACATCCTCAGCACTGCGTTGAAACGCATGTCCCGGATGAACTACCCAGCGCTCGTTAGCGCAGTCTCACGCATGACTGCGCTCATAGCTCATCATGGGCACAAAGCTCATACTCGGGCCGCCTCTTCGTCCTGTTGCCGGAGAGATATGTAGAAGCGACGAAGTGACGTGCAAAGCAGAAGATGGTTCTCAGGGCTGTGCTGCTTCGTAAAGAGATACACGTATGTTGTGCACCTTGCAAATCTTCAATCCATGCTGCTGTTTGTCATGGAAAGTGGGCAATAGCACTGTCTCACAAGCATCTCGACCGAGGGCGGCACAAAGCAACTCGGATAAAGCATGCAGTGAGAATCGCATGGAAAAACCTGGGCGATCATGCAGAGGATGAGGATGGCGGGGAGGGAAAGAGATAAACAGACAGCAAAAAAGTCAAACATATGTGCACTGTTGCGCACGCACGCTTTGCACATACACTTCTTTCCGCTTGGATGCTCTCTCCTTGCGTGCAACTTCGGAGTTGAAGATGTTTCGGCAACTCGACCCACTCATCATCACTCATCTCTGCAGTCAGGTATTGTAAGATCTGGCCGAAGCTCTGCTTCTAAGGTCCGGCCCTAGTCGGTACCGTGCGCTGATCGAAATGGTGGAGGTTGAGAGGACCACAGATGGTGCTGAAGGGTGCCGGCAGGTTGCGTGTGGTCACCGTCTTGGTCGAACTCCCTGTATCCTGAGCTTCTCGACTCATACACGAGACAGGAAGAGTCAACAGCAAGAACGAGCAAAACAAACGGTCTTGCATCTGCTCGAAACAGCACGTGTCTCCCGAAAGTAGCCACGGAACGGTCACGGGTGACTCTGCCCCAGAAGGCTGTGAAGACTACAGAAGAGGCAAGCCTTGGCTCTCATGTCACCCGGCCGCAGACTCAAGCTTTTCGACTCTCACACTCGCTCCTGGCAGGCAAGGCTTTTGAGGGTGGGAGCTTCCTGAAGATTCAGAGTTTGGGGTTAGTGTCGAGATATCCTGGCCGCATCAACCGCCACCATCCAGTCCCTCATCAGGTCGTGTCTAGCTGTGACGGAGTAATTGCGCTCGACTAAGTAGCGTGAGACCTGCGAAGTGCGCAGCACTCTCGTCCACGGCACACGCACCGGTGACGAGCAAGTAGACCTGGCTGCTGTTGGGCCTAATCTGAACAGGCCAAGGGAGATACAGAAGGAGGCATGTCCGACCTGCGGGCCCAAAGCAAACGCTTCCATCCACGTCGAAAACATCCAACCTTACCGGCGCAACGGAGACAAGGCTGCATCTGGGAAAAGAGATCTGTTGTGCGCAGCGAGCACACGCACGCACGCACACACACACACACTCCTTGTTGCATGGTCTGCAACTCATATCTGCCCAATAGTCGTCATGGCCAGTGCTCTTCGTGAAATACCTTCGCAACATGTGACACACAGCAAACTCTGCACAGCTGCGGGCTCATGTCGGTTTCCCAGTAAGAGAATCTGAGGTGCGCTAGTATGGCCGCCAAAACGCCTGAGCTTTCCAAACGACAGCCGCAAACACGCAAGTCACGCAACTCACGCTTCTTTCTCCGTGCGCGGATCGGCGTCAGAGTCTCTAAGTAAGGGGCTGGTGGTGCCAAGAACTCGATGCGTGTGCACGTTGCAGCCAGGCTTCTCATGCCAATAAGTTGGCTCCATCGTTCGATCCCCTGTCCGACATCCTGCGAGCTGCGGACCGCAGATAGGCGCATCACCTGGAGCAGCCAAATCTTTACAAACCTTGCCATCACGACACATTCCAGAGCTCCTTGCCTGGAATGTGACGACAAGCACCCCGAGCAGTTCCAGACCCTGGTACAAGAAGACATCGCCAGTGTTGTCCTCCGTGCATATGCGCTGGCTTAAGTCGTTCGTCTTTGGAGCGAGATACTTCACCCTCTCCTCTGGGATGTAGCCCTCGCCCCACACGGTCGTGGAAATGCGAGTGACGTGGGCAATGATGAAAGCCTCAAACTCTCAAGCAAAGCTCCTGCAAGTGCAGGAAACCCCGAGGCCCGTGCCCAGAGCGTCTTTTCACTCAGGCCCTGGACATCCAAACCATGTTGATCTGGTGAGTCCAGCAACCCTACATCTAGTTACGGCTGGGTGATGGCCTCGGCTGCGCTGCTGCTGGTGTCGAGGGCAAGCATTGTGAAACCCAGCACCTGCAAACCTGCAGCCAGCGTGAGCCAATAGTCCTTGTCAGACGGGGCCAAGCTTTGTGTGCACACAACAACTGGCAAGCCAACTGAAGCTGCTAGGAGCTCGGAGGAATTGTTTCTATGCCAAGCATCATAGGCGGCATTGGCAGGTGCCTGGAGCAGGCTGGGAAGGACTTGGCTGAACAAAGCCGCCTGGTTCCTTGCCTCGAGCTTGTAGTAGACTAGCCTCAGCACAGGATGGTTATCCAGTCTAGCTAGCCGTGGCCTGAAGGAATCCGAGACAAGAAGCAAGCAGGCGACCGCAAAGGTGCCATAGAGCACCTGCGTCCTCATACGCAGCGAGGGGGGCCCGGCTGCGGCCTGCTCAAGAGCTTCCGATCTTGGAGGAATCCTAGTGGGGGGCGACAGGGATGCAAAGGACGTCACTGCGCAGGCTTTCGATGCGTACATCCTGGCGAGCGGTCTCTTTTTGGCTTCTGCCGCTCCTGCAAAGAACTGTCCTCTCGCCCCTTTCAGAAGAGGAGGCCTAATGTGGAACGGCCTCCACATACCAGTCACACTATGCTGGTGGAATTTCGGCGTCTCCAGACATCTTGACTGGAGTTCAGCATCCTGTCCACGAATTTCGGCAGCCAGTGCCTGTTAAAGGTTTCCGAGTCTTGGAGGGAATTACCTTCACCACCTTGGATGCTGTCTCGGCTCCAATGCATTACAACTGCATGGGTTCACCAAGAGACCATGCTCCTGGGGCAGGCTCTTGGACAGTGGCGTATCGTCAAGATAGGCTCCTTGGATGTTAGCCCTCATAGTGAGAAAAGCAAGCCAAACGCGGATGGCAAAGGGGAGTGGACTGCAAAGGATTGTGCAACAAAGCATCACTCTGGAGATGGAGCTTGCTCATCGGTGGAGTTTCCTCTCGATGGAGTCAAGCGAGCCTGCAGCCAGGGATGCTGAGTACAGTGTGACCGGTTTCGGCTAGTGAATCGCAGGCTACAGCCATGGCATACAGAGAGCGCCCACCACGCACGCATGTTTGGTTTGCTTTTGGTGACCACGAAAGCTTGTCTCATCCACCTTCCTCATGACAACCCTCCACCCTATCCAGCAAAGCGACCCCAACAGCTGGTCAAACTTATCAGGAGGCAAACATGCTGCGAGGAAATGCGGACTGCTGCTGCAATGGGTCACTACCACCAGCTGCCCGAAACGGTGTTCCAATTAAAAAACCCACCTCTCCGAGCCGGAAACCCACTGAACACATCATCCGAAACTGAACTAGCTTCTAAACCCATCCGGAACCGACTCTGCTACTCTAAACACCCGGAAATTGATTCTGCGGAAGGCTGCTTCCATCAGTTTGAGTAAAGCTCCGTATTCTGCCGGCGATAATCTAGCGAAAAGTTGCCGAAGATGCCATGGACAGCTTTGAAGCGAAACCCTAAGAGATCCGAAGTCTTCTCCGGCCTTCAACTGGTTCTGGTCAGATGGCTTTCTTCTTGGACTGCGGCTGCCTGTATCATCTTTCGCAAAGGCACTCATGTGCTTCGTCCAATCCTCAGTGATATCAGAAACTGCGCTGGCTCCCAGCCTTACTGGCTCTTCAGCATCTCCGAATGTTGCACTCAGGATGTGATCGCAGTTCTGAGAGGCGTTCCACATCCTTCTCATAGTACAGATCACCTAGTCGTGGGCCAAAGGTTCCAACCTCCAGCTTGAGACAGTTCCATCTCGAGAAGCCGCTGCAAGCAGAGCTCTCAACACCAACACACCCTGTTCCGCCACGTCACGAGTTTGTGAACATGCCGCTGCAGCTGCGCCTCAGGCGGTACAAAAAGTGTTGTCTTTGCGCACGCAGCTGCAGAGCATGTACTAAACTGGTACCGCTTCCTGCAGCGTTTAGACAAACAGCAGGCAGGGATCTGCATGGTGTGGTAGTGGGCAAATCCTATGCATGAGCATACCAGCTACATCAACTTGGTAGGCTTAATCGGAGTGCTCTGGCATTGGATCCTGCTCCATTTGTTGTCACGGTTACACCATCCCGTCGACCGATCCCGTTTTCAGCGAGCGGCACGCCGCGCAGGCAGTAGATCCTGCTCCTTGCGATCTTCTGGTAACACGAGACGCCTCGAACGAACTGTTGGCGCGAGCATTGAAATCAAAAACTTCCACAAGATTGACGGAGTTGAGCCTGCCTGAACAATGGCACAATGTCCACGTAGGCTCGCACGCCCTGCTCGCTCGCCTCCATCACAGTCCAACTGTCAGAACGTAACCCAATCCAACTAGTCTCAGTCTCCGTGTTTTGACTCACGTCGACTTCTAGGTGCAAGCCTTCATGCCCCAGAACGCAAACAACGGGAGGCCCAGCCTTGGCTTCTGTAGCTCCCTCATGGCACAACGTCCCAGTAGAGTTTGCCGAGTAGCAGAATCAGAATTCTGGAGGTCAGGCACCAATCTGTGAATGCCCAAAGCAGCATGCCATAAATGACCTCAAGTTCTGACAGACTATCAACTGCAGCACGTCTGCAGCCTGTCTCCTGCTCTCTTTATCCCAGCCACATACAAGACCGGAATGAACATCAACCTCAGGAAGCAAGCCAGTGCTGCTTGCAAGGCCCCATGTGGGAACCCACTCCCAAAACTGAGCAACAGGCACGTAAATTACTTTGTACGACATAACCTTTGGCAAAGCCAGAGGTCGTGCAGCGTTTCTGTAGCGTTTTGGATGGAGAGAGTCTCAGGAAGCAGCCACGTCTCTGGCCGCCAGCTTCACGCTGGAGGATTTCAGCGACTTTTGCTGCTCGACGCTGGCAAAACGGCTCGCCAAGAGCATAAGTGGCACATTGAACCTGGATTGTTGTGCAGCTGTTGCTCCCAAGCTTCTTATGCAGCTAAACCCTAAACCCTAAACCCTTCCGGTATCAAATGTAGATAATGCAGACGGTGACACATTAGCTGTGGCAGAACTCCCATAGCCATTGAAACCTCGGCAGCTCAAAGCCGGCTCGAGGCCTGGATCCTTCGGTCGCCAACAGGCAGAAAAAGGATTAGCGGCAAGCGGCCAGAAGATACATGAAGCGGCCAATGAGATCCCCCGCCGTCCACCAAACAAGTTGAGGTACCTTCGTTGCAGGTGGACCAGCGCTAGTAAAGTCCTTCCACAAGCGAGAAGGACGAAGCGGCCTGGTGATCCCGGATGCCGAGCTTTTTCAGGCTTGTCATGTACCTGCATCGGGGCAGGCGCTGTGCTCGCAGTCGACGGACCCCTCAAGTCTTAAAGTCTCCAATTGTGCTGAGAGGCCCTTCCAGTTCACTTCGGAGCTCCTGTCCCCAACGCATGCATGCACCCGCACAGTTTGACCTCTGCGACTCAGCAGTCCTGAAATGCTTGGAGCTCTTGCTTCGACAGTGGCCTCGTACAGCTGTGAACCCCGTGTGTCTGCTAGATTCAGATGCGCGTGTGCAGGTCTTCACAAGCTCTCAGGCAAGAGCTCTTGGTTTTCTGCTGGAAGATCGTGGGAAGCAAGCCTCGTGGGCAGTGAACACATGGCAGCAGATACCGCAAAACCGGATGCGAACACAACATGCGGCCGCGCCACTCGTTGCTTGCGATATCACCCGCCCCTCCAGAGGCACGATCAGCTAGTCGAAGGATACGGTTGACCCCAACCTCAGAATCCAACAAAGACGAAGCTGCCCCAAGCTCAGGCTTCGCTCACTTCCCGTGCTTGGGCTCGCCACTGCGAAGCGGCGGTTCAAATCCATGGCCTCGTGCATCTGACTCTCCATTTGGAGGCTGACAGACATGCAGAACAACCCGCCTTCGACGGGCTCAATTTCAGGCCCTCTTTGACCCAAAGGCGTCGGACCTGAAGAGCGCGGGACTTCGGGCTCTGGAGCTACAGCAAAGAGGCTTCGCGATACTGTGTAAGCTGCACCTAACCTAAGGTTTGGTTGATGGACAGGCAGACAACAGGTTCGCGGATCAGCCGCAGTGGGGCGACATGGCATGTACCGGCTCTTTTCCGTCACTGACACCAGGCTCACGGTCGATTCTCCCAGCCGAACAGGTGCAGCAATTCACGCTATAAAGACATGATGCAGCTGGCAGCACTTCCACTTGGCATTCCTCGCTGGAGAGCATGTGGAAGCCTCTCATATCGACAAAGAGAAGACCCTTTTTTGCAGGTTCAGGATGGCACTTCCAACTAGTTACTAGTTTTTGTTTCCACTCGGTTGGCTCTCTACTGCTTCGTGGCTCATCCGGCCCCCTGGCCCCATACTCAAATGAAGACCGTCGCCCCAGATTTCAGGGCACGAGATCTTTCTGGAAGAGGGGCTTTCTCACGGAAGCTACTGTTTTGTCCAATGCGATGAACGATACGATAAATAAGGGTCGGACCGCCCCTGGTCTTTTAAGCGCTGGCTCACAACGCTGTGAGACAAGTCCTATGCTACAGCAGGGCTCCTCCAAGGAGTTGAGCGCTTGTTCGCTAGGTGCGACGACCCCAGGCAGAAGCACCGGGAGGCAAACAGGAGAGAAACTGGGAACGATCTGCCGAGGAAGCCCATCCGTCGATCGGGAAGACCACGTCCTTCCACACCCCAGAGTCCCAGAACCCGGTTGGCTCAGTCTTCACTCCTGTCCTGTAGCCGTGGCATTTGTGAGATGGCCGTCTGCACATTCACGTCCTGCAGACTTTGCAAGGCAACTCCCCACAACTGCACAGCCTCGCAGCCCCTCAATCAAGACCGAGCTGGCGCTGATCGCTATATCGCAGCTCTTCGTCACTGACTCTGCCTTCTCAGAAGCCTTCGATGAACCCCGCGGGGTCACCGGCGAGTCTGTCCTGCAATGCGTCCACCGGGGCTCTCCCAAGATCCTCGACAGGCGCTTGCCGGATTTCCCCGCGCACAAAAATGCAAGGCTCAAGCCGCTCAAAGCCGCTCAAAGCCAAGGTGCCATGTAGGAAAAGAGATTCCGATGAATCGGGCTCGACATGAAGCGGCAGAGGCGCTGCGCCAGGGGAAAATGAGAGAAACTGCTATTCTCCCACCTCGGGGCAGATCAAGCCATGTTTCAAAGCGAAGCACCCCATGACGCGAGCAAAAGGCCAAGTCGCTGGAACCAGTGTTCGTTGTAGACGAAGTTCTTGAACGTCCGTGTTATATGTGCATCCACAGTCACACGCACGACCCGCGCACATGCACGAAGAGCAGACCATCCGGGCAGGGCTGAGTGATTCAGCGTTGCTCGGATTACTGCATCAGGCTGACGCCCTGTCTGCGACGAGGGAAGCAGGGGGCTTAGGATGGCCTTCCGCAAGTCTTCTGCAGACCGCCGAAGCTGGTACTCCCCGCATTCGTCGGGATCCAGAGAGCCACGTCGTCGGCCAGAAGACTGAGAGGCACCCGGCCGTGCCTTTGAGACAAGGTCACGGGAGTTGAGGGGGCTAGCTCCAAGGGCTCCGTGGGAACTGGTGCAAGTTCTGAGCCACCAAAAGAAGGCGGGGCTCGGGTCCCAGCGCCGCAAGTCTTCATTTCGAGATGTCTAAGTTTTGCTTCACCCTTCAAAGCTTCGGTCAGATCAACTCTCCGGCGAGCACGCGGCTCCCAGCAAAAGTAAAATCTGCCCCAGACCAGGACCGTAGAGCCATAGAGTCAGAACCCTGAAGCAAGCCATGCTTATCAAGCCAAAAGACGGGAACGGGACTGAGTTGCTTCCGTCGCAGCTCGGCCGGCTGAGAGGAGGTGGCGTCAGCCGGCGGCTTGGCATCGGCAATCTCCTTTGTCGCCCTCGGCTTCGAGCTCCGAGGTGATCTTTGAGCCGCCGACGCCGTTATCGCCGCTTGGTTTTCAGGTCCTTGGCTGTACGAAACACGAAGCTGCGACTCAAAACGCTTCGATGGCGCTCTGAAGCTGCAGATGCGGCACCTGCTTTCAGTCGCAAAGACAGATCTCCTGAGCTGCACTGCGTGGAACGAGCACAGCGACAGTTCAGCATGATCGTCATTCCAAAGCGTCTGAAGTCCATACTGACTGCGCCTGGCGCAAGACAAGTCACCCACAAGCAGTGACCGTGTCGCAGACTTCTGCTCAGTGTCAAGGTATTTCAGCTTTGCGACTGAGGTATGCAAGCCGGTCCTCCGCTCGCAACTCTGCGCTTGACAACTTGGAGTGTCTGCGGTGCGCCCACTTACTTTAGCTTTTTGCCCAGAGTCGTTTCTAGGCCAAGCCTTGGAGCAGAAGCGTTCTGGAAGCTTTCTGCGACCCTAGAAAGACGATGACTGCGTAGCGAAATGACAAAGACTCCGAAAACAGGCGCCGCTTGGAGCCAAGCAGATCCCTCAGCTCGATGGCACTCTGGGCCTCTTGGATCCAGTCTTCACGCTCCTCGGAACGCCGGAGTGGCAACAAAGCTGTCGGTTATTGCATGATGTCAGTACCTCAAACATGGATCACTGTGAGCAGCGCGCGTCGGTACTGCAACTTTCACAGACACTAACATGAGCCGAGTCCATGCAACTGGTGCAAGCACAGCAGCGGCTTTCTTGTGCCGATTCCGGAGCTCTGCAGCCATGATCTTCAAGACTACGAACTCCTCCTGCCAGCGATTGGGCTGCTCGGTCTTGGATCCCCTGTTTACTCACGGCATGCATGCCCTGTTTTTGAAACCAGACTCAGCCAATCGGCAGCCCCAACCAGAAGCCTGTATGAACCCTCAAACTCTCCGAAGCGAGTGCATCATCCGGCCTGAAGCTCCTGCTCAATCCATGTTTCGACCTTCTGGCATGCAGGCCCAATCAGTTCTATCTAACGATTATTCTGATTCTTCTTCTTGTAAGTACTGTTATTATGATTATGACTCCTATCATCATTGTTGTCTATATTACTGATTATGAGAATCATTACGACAGGGTGGTGGCAAGGCCCACGGCTCTGAGGCAGAGACCTCCTTCTTCAAGGCTCGCAGCCTGGGTTCAGAAAAGGCCAGGGCCATGAGGAACTGAAAATGTCGTGGGCAGGAAATCCTATAACCTTATACTGGTACTATATTATACTATGCTATACTCTGCTCTACTATACTATACTATCAAATATCATAACATATATTACTTGATGCACTGTATTAGATATACTATAGACTGCATCATATGTTTTACCAGGTTTACCATAAACCATATAATGTGTCATATACTAGATGATAACACGGATTGCGGCAGGTTGCTGCGGCTGAGCTGCTTATGGCCAGTTGCTGGACTTTTGCCGCCCGCGGAAAGTGCCTCTTCCTCCTGCGCAAAGATGTCGTCATATCCTGAGCGGAACAAGGCTCGAATGGCTACAAAAGTCCTTCGCCGATTCCCACCCAACCTAGCCGCCCGATGCCAGCCCACACATGCATCTTGATCTCCGAGCTGCGGTGCTTTATCTTTACGGCCAATGACAGATCAGAGGTGGCTGGAGTGATCGTTTGGCGCTTGCTCTCCTTCTCGCCCCAGTCACCTAAGAATCACAAGGCAGCGCATCGTTGCCGGCTCACACCGGACTGCAATCAACAGCAGACCAAGGTGCAGTAGAAGCTCAGGTACATTGCAGGGCTTGTCCTGTAGCCTGTGCAGGAGACTTAGGGCAAGATTGGGCAAGGTCCAAAAATTTTCCCTTGCGCTTCCTTGCTTTCCTTGCGTGTCCAATCTTTTGGAAGGGATGTAAGGAGGCAACCCACGCCGACGGGCACTCCGACCGAAGCCCACGTCCCCTTGTGCAGGCGAGTGTCCTACGGCCAGCTCCTCTTGGGTCAGAGGGAGTTGTGGACTGTAACCTTACAGCAAACTCCATTTTACGGGGTTGCAGGCCATCCCAGAGAGCTGAGGAGTTCAGAAGCTGTAAGGCCCCCGCCAAGATTTATTCTGTCCACCGCTCTGGCCTCCGCATTCATCAAGCGGAAAACTCACGCGGCCAGCTTCTGCAACTGGGCCCCATCTTAAACAGATTTCGCTGCCAATCCTTGAGCTGTGTCAGTGTGATGTGCCAATCAATCGCTTCCGAAAGGGAGACCGTCGTCTGAGTGCGCACACCTTGGAAGTTTCCCACCGAGCACACCATGAGCCATACAAGCAGAAACTTTCGCGTGTGGCAACGCTTGAACGAGCTTCTGTTTAGACACGGCTCTCATGCCTTCCCATGAAAGCTCCACAGCATATCTGCCTTTCATGTCCTCAGGTAGCAATACCACCAAGTTGCTCTCCAAGCTGGATATTGGACGCATTCAAAACACTTCCAGTGTGCACCCAAGCAGCTGCATAAATGCCTGAGTTGTGAAGTAGGTGCACCAAGCGCTGGCAACGACCGGGCTTTCTTGCGACTCATGTCAATGTCTGTTCTACAATCGAGATACCAGCCATAGACAGACTGTTGGATTTGTCCGTGTTCCTGCCATGCAATAAGATTTGACAAGGCGTACGGTACATAGCTTCAAGCTGTACCAGAAGCTCTCCTGAACTGAGTGAACTCCATGTTCCACGCGCTCTTCGCCTCGGCTAAATTACACTGCCACACCCCCCCAATGCAAAGCTTAAGTAGGGCCTAGTCCATGCGTCCATGCATCCCAGTCGCATGGGCGCTCTGAAGAAACTCCATAGCTTCTTCCAGAACCTGAGAAGAAAGTCATAAGGCTTCTAACTTGGCCCTTTCTCACCTTCCCACATTTCTGTGCCTCCGTTTGGAGCTCTTTCAGTATCCGCTTCTGCTCCGCTGGGCTCGCAGAACAGAGCCGGATCAGCGCCTCCCGCACCGCTCCTGGGATCCCGGAAGCGGCCAAGGGCTGGGCCTGCTAGCCTCAAAAAAGGACCTGAAAGACCTACCATATACCTGCTTGTTTTTTGTAGGTTACGATTATGCATTCTGAACCCTGGTATAGAATGCATAGGGAAGAGCTAAAGTTATACTACCTTTATACCCTTTTAGCACCAAAACCATCCTGAAAGGCACGAGCCAAGTGCTGCCATGCCTCTGCGAGCGGCAAGCTCTTCACTGCCCATGTCTGTGACAGCATCCATGTCCAAGGAGCCAGCATCCATGCCTGGAAGCACTTGTCATGGGTTTGGCTGGAAGTTGTCCCGTTTCGAGCAGCTGTAACATGCCTCCGTCCGTGTTGCCCAAGGCATTCAGAGACCTCCCATGCAAGACTCGTTCTCACCAAGGGCAGCGCATAGGGAAAGCGCATCTTGCAAGGAAACCTTTCCCATGGTGGATTTAGGGCAGCCAGGCGGCCTGTCGTACTCTTCGCGATGTTGGCTGTTTGTCAACACTTCAAAGGCAGCGACCACGGCTTGAAAATCTTCCGGGCGACCACCTGGTCAGGAGCACCCGTTCCCAGGACTTAGCAACAATTTAGCACCCTGTGCAGCACGGTAGGTACCCTTTTTGGCCTCAGGCCTGTGCAAGCGGCCTACAGTGCATCTAGCTTAGCCACAACGAAAAAGTAGACAAAGTGGAGTTGGAAGTCACCATGCATCGACTCCGGCCGCGCCTTTGTCAGGATGAGTTACCAGGGCTCGCTTGCGGAAGCTCTTCCTTAATGGAGGAAGTTGTCAAAGCTTACAGAGGGTGAGTCTAGTCACATACTTGTGCATTCTTGAATATTGAGATACCTTCGTCACACCTCCTCCTGCGAGCAAAGGGCTGGATGTCCTCCGGGGTTGCCTTTCTCGGAAGTTGCAATACCTCAGGTAGCAGGCGTCCCTGTTTCTGTCTCAGTCTCCACGAGTAGGGTTTTCTGCATCTTCAGCATAGTTAAGAGGCAGTCGCGAGTCAGCTGCCCCCGCACTGTAACAAGCTCCCTCTCTTTTCGCAGGTCTTGCTCGCTCTCTCTCTTTGCTTTGCGATTAGTAGTCACGAGCCTCGCGTTTGCGCATCCCCATCCTTCATGCTGAGGGCTCTCTTCTTCTGGTCAAGTCCCTGCCCGCCATTAGGGGCGGGGGTGTGAGAATGTAAGATGGGCACTTGCTTGCTGCAGAGCTCAGGCACGCGCAGGCGCGCCTCCTGGCAGGAGCTCCGTTCGGCGCCAAGCTCGGCGTGAGACCAGGGGTTCTCCCCTTCTACACCTGTGACCCTTCCTCAACGCCTATCCCGGCCTTCATCCCGAACCGAACCGAACCTCGCGGAACTGCACTGCCTTCCGCCTACCTGCCTACCTCCCACCCCTGAAGCCTGTACACTCCCTGGGTTGCAGCACCAGTACGAAGTAGAATCTACAAATCAACACAGTATGCCAGTCCTTGGACTTGCTCATTGCTCTCTGAGGCCACTGCTGGTGCAAACGGCCCTCTCTCTCTCTTTCGCTCTCTCTCTCTCCCTCTTCTTTCGAAGGGCTCTCCCTCTCTCTCTTTCTGTTTTGCTGGGGGATTGAGCCACAGCTCTTTGCTTCGCTTTGCTTGGGGTTAGAGTCAGAGGCAGTCCCCCTGACCCGCGCCGAAGTGCATCCCCATCCACCCTCTTGGGCAGAAAGGGTTCGGCTGCACCGCAGACCGCAGGTCTGATCGTTGCGAAGGATCAGACCTGCGGTCTGCAGTACAGCCGAGCCACAGCCCTCTTCTTCCACACAGACGAAGGGCAAGCAACGCTCACCCCTGCACGCGCACGCGCACTGTCCTCCTTTGTCTGTGGTACTACTACTAAGGCAGATGAGGCACTGTTCGAGAACTTGATACCCCCCTAGCCTAGACTTACAAAACCCCCGGCCTCATCTGGTTCGCACCGGCTCTGTGGTGCAGACTCGCGCTATGTTACATCT